ATATATATATATCAATATATATTTATATATATAAAAATACATATAGTTCAGTAGTAAAACTATGTAATTCATTATATTCTATGTACACTTATAAAGATATATAATATAGTTCGTTATAGAGTTCAATATATTAAATTCTTCTGAAGTAGAAACAACACTCTTCATACAGTTAAAATAGCCTTACAAAAGAAAGGACTTACCTGGTATTTCTACCCGAAGTAAAGAAAGGAGTTTCAAAACAAAAATGGGTATCCAACATAGTGCATCAGTAAATACAATGAAGAAAAAACGTTTAGCAAGGACCATCTCTTTTTTAACATGATTCTTAATTTCAGTAGCTGTAATAGCTGTTTGGTGAACACTGTAGAACATAGTCCCGTAGGAAAACACAATGATGATGAAAGCTGCCAAGTTTACACCTGTTTAAGAAGTTAAAATTGATTATAATTTAACAGCATAATGGCAATTCCACATCACCTATTTACAGGGTGGGTAGCAAAGAAGAATGTTTCATCTGAACTGCTAGCCCCAAAGAATTAAGTGGACAGAATCTGAATCTGTTTTCACCCGAACATGGAATTTTTGCCTCTACATGGGTATTTATTTCATTCATTGACACCTGAGAAATAGCTGCCATCTGATCCAGACTACATAGTTCTCTGGCCTTACTATCACTCTGCTTTCCTGACAAAGTCTATTCATTCAGGAACATAATAGTCATTAATTTCTTTCTACATTTTCAATCCTTCATGCATTTTAAGATCTGTAAGTATTTAAATATAGTAAAATATTGAGACTGGAAAAAGTGTTTAAGTGCTTAATGGAACATCTAAATAGAAGGTGTGAACATCACAGCAAAGCCATCTTATTTGTTGAAAATTAAGTTAAATTAAGCTCTAATCATAAATAAAGAAGAAATGCAACTTACTTACCTAAGAAAATGACAACAGAATAAATCTGACTTCCTGCACTTTCTGCTTGTTCTGAGTGAAGAGGAAAACAGACACCGTTGGTGCCATAGTAGTTCCTGAAAAATTCCTTATTGCTCAGTGGGATAAAAGCAACAGCAAACCCAATTATCCAGATAAGAACCAACATGGAAATTGTCCTGCATTTTCTGGGCTTTAAACACCTAAAAGGATAAACTATGCAGATGCATTTTTCCAAAGTCAGGTAAGTCAACAGTAAGACTGACACCTCTGTAGACAGAATAGCCAGCGATCCAACCAATTGACAATGAATACTGTCCATCCACAACTGAGCGTGCTTGTTGTATTCGCCGCGATATTTAAGATCAAAAGCTCCAATCACAAATAAATATATTCCCATCAGACAGTCAGCACCTGTGGGCACAGTGCTTAACATCATTATTTACACATCTGAATTTCCCATTCTCTGTGTATATGTATATTGGAAAACAGACATAAACACGTCTATATGAGTACATATTTATAAGTCAGCTAATATATAGATATAAAATAAACCAACATTATAGCTGGAATTCTATTGTGAATTGGAATTAAGGCAATATAATTCAGTTCTATCTCCCCATGCTGTGTTTTTTTTTAATTTTCATTTGGACTGACAGTCTATGTTTCATACTTGTATCCAACCTTATTTTTTGGAGTTCAGATAAAACTGGTTTGCAAGTAGAAGAAGGTATGGCTTTGTTTATAGAAATATTATTGCAACCTTTCTTTTTACTCAGGTCTCATTCCTTTTGATATTGACATTTGGCTTTAGATAATTTGCTTTGACTAGGGCATCTCTGCTGGATTCAAAGTTTAGTTTTTGTTTGTCCACCTTATGCTAGCTCAAAACTGATGCACACAGTCTTCTAAGACTAGTAAGGCAAGAAGAGCTGCCAACATAGAGCTGAAGGCTTCTCACATGTCTTGGCCAGAAGTTTTGCCTGCTATTCAGATTGTTCCCATGAAACAACAAAGTTTCAAACTCACTGACACTGACATGCTGTATTTAGGAACTTTGCAATCTCTCTATAGACTGTTGACAATTACCTTTCAAAATGCAACTAATTGCATTTGTGAAATAGAATCATAGAATTGACTAGGTTGGAAAAGACCTTTAAGATCACCAAGTCCAATTGTTAATACTTATAGACTCTCCTGTATTGAGGCAGGGTATTCAAGATTGTAGTGACTATGCTGCCAGATAGTTCATCCATAAACTTGTCTTGCTTTTAGGACTAAAATATCCCCCCCCCTTCTTAATACTGGGGATTGATTTTCTATATTTGTGTAAGTAAGTAACCTATTGCCATGAGAAAAATAGAGTACCTTGAGCACAAGATTTGTGTGCAAATTGCTATTTATTCAAAAATGCATAGTAAAACTTAGGTTTATAGGCCTTTGAAAAATTTGGAATTCTATTTCTTCTTGCTGAAGAAAGTGGGAATTTGACACAATACCCACAGCATTAAAAATCAAACATGAAACCTTTGGAATTTATCAGCTGCCAAAGGCAGCATTTAACTAGACGTCCTGGTGCGTAAGGTACAGCATTTTGTATTGTAATTTGCAACAGCATGAAAGTCCAGTTAATCCAGTGCTAGAGATATGTCACTATATTGCAACAACAATTGTCATACATGCTATGAGTGGACTAAAGCAATATTCTTTTATGCATGGAGTACTCACAGCAGAGAGACATTATTGAGATGGCGTGGAGCTTATTCTCTGATCTGATATAAGGCCTCATGCAGATAACGAAAATATTTCCAAAGCAGGTGACAGCAGACACAACCCAGACAAACACTCTCTGTATGATGCTGGCTAAAAGATTCTCAAGGGATGAAATCCCATCAGTATTGGGCTTACAGCTGCGCACATGAGGGGCATATCCACAGTACTGGAATTTCTTAAAATATCTGGTTGTGAGAAAGAAAAACAGACAAGAAATGGTTCTAGTTTGGTTACCAGAATATCAAAACTCTCTAGTAACTACTCAGAAAACATATTCTGAAAGAATAGAAATTGATTAAAAACTTTTCAAATTTGACAACTGCTCATGTGCTGCTTTTCAGATACTTTTGTTTTCAATTATCCTGTATCTTGTAAATTGTAAAATTCAGACCAAAGAAAGCGAACTGGAATAATCTACTCACATGTGAGAAAGGTTTCTCAGTGGTCTGAACATTCTTCTCTGGATGTTTGCAATTTCAATGCCTTCCAATCCACTGTAAGCAATAAATTCTCAGTAAAAGGCCATAGAAACTCAGTAGTAAAAGGATAAACTTCATGAACATTTAATTGTGTTTCTGTGATTATAGGAAACTGGAGAGGAACTTGAATTGTCTCTAATCTGTCACCTCTTTGAAACTTAAAGAGGAGGTCTGCATAAAAGCTCAAATGGAATAAAGTAAATTGCAGTTAATTCGAATAAACTCGCTGTTCTTCCTAAAACCATTAAGAAAGCTCTTTCAGTGCTCTCAGCAGTGCAATCGCTGGTTATTATGTTGCCCTTCCAAAGTATTGTTCTACTAATGTTCTTTCATCATCTCTGGGAATATAACAACTTCTTCCAATAGTAATATTTTGCATGTCTCTTCTTTTATCCCAGGGAGTGCTCTACTAGACAAACAAACCACTGCAGGAGTTCAGCCTTCATTGTGTCAAGAGCAGCAGGAAGCTGGGACACGGAACAGGGCATGTAAGCAAAAATGCTCACTTTCTTGGGATGCATAAAATGTGATTTCTTATTTTATTATTATTATTTTTTAATATATTGAAAATAGCACCATTATTTCCCCTGCAGTCCTAGATCGGTAACTGTGTAAATTGTTCTTTTAGAACTTCAGTTTCTATATTCTTCCAGTCATAGAATCATAGAATTTGGGTTGGAAAAGACCTTAAGACCATCTAGTTCCAAACCCCCTGCCATGGGCAGGGATTCCTCACCCTAGACCATGTCGCCCAAGTCTCTGCCCAACCTAGTCTTGTCCAAACAGTCCATCCCATCCGTTCATTGGCTGGATGTGCAATTGGTCAGAGGTCTTTGGTCGTCCTTGTGGGGAGCCTTATTTGAATTCACTGTTCAATGCTCTGAATGAAATACTCATGTGAGTTCTGAGCACATTTAGGCAAAAGTGGAGAAAAGTAGTACCAGTCTTACTGGTTAGTTGCTGTGAGCTGGTAGGCAGTTTTGCTAGGAGATAAGAAAAAATCCCCAATATGGGAGTGTGTTAGTTTTATTTAAACACTGCAATGAATCTTAGGGTGTGCTTTCCCCAGATAGTCTTACTATTTCAAACTAGCAAAGAGGCAACTGGTGTTCTGCAGACTGCTGAAATACATAGTTTCCTATAGATATATCTCAAGATTTAAATACTTTCTTAACTTAAAAACATGGAAGGTCATGCTCCCTGAGTTGTACAAGTTCTTCAGTGTTTTAAATAATGGATAAAATAAATGCTGTAGCCTGACTGTTAAGGAGGTAATTAATTATTCTTTTTCTGTGATCAGCTGCTTATTCTCATGAAACTTGTACAGATTTAGTATTTTCAGGTCATTAGCCTTTTACCAAATTTAGTTGAATTTGGCGACTGGTTTCAAAGTCAGTAAGAAGAAGCTGGACTGATCATAAAGGCATGTTCCATAAGTATTTCTAGTAGGGCCTGTTGTGACAGGACAAGGGGTGATGGTTTTAAACTAAAAGAGGGGCGACTCAGGCTGGATATAAGGATTAATTTTATTTTTTTTAATGAGGATGGTGAAACACTGGAACAGGATGCTCAGAGAGGTGGTAGAGGCCCCATCCCTGGAAACATTCAAGGTCAGGTTCCACGGGGCTCTGAGCAACCTGATCTAATTGAAGATGTTTCTGCTCATTGCAGGGGTTTGGACTAGATGTCCTTTAAATGTCCCTTCCAACCCGAACTATTCCATTGTTCTATGATCTGACAAGAACCAGTGCTGTGGACTACCAAGCTGGACTTCGCAGATGTGCAGTGGCCCATAAAGACTTAAATCTACCACAGGATAATTTCAGATTTGCAAGATTGTCATTGCACTATCACATAGTTTTAGGAAGAGCTCTGCTGGCAGAATTCAAGTTAGAGCTGCCGTGTTACTGTACCCACAAAAACTTCCCCTAAACTCTTTTAAAAGATTCGTAAAAGTCTCCCTTTCACAGGGCAGCTGAATCATACTTGGTTTATGTTGTTCTTTTCATGGTGTTAGGAGTAGATTCTGTAAGAATGGAAGTATGTCCCCAAACTTGTCCTTACACCAAATTTCTTTGTAGCTCCTGTCTATCCTAATGGTACCTGCCCATGGTGTTAATAGCCTCAATATGACCCTTAAGCCCTGTGAACAAATTATGCAAGGTCAAATGAGGGTTGCACTACTCTTGTTCTGTAATAGCAGAAAAGATAATGTCCCTCTCTAAGATGTATTTATGATCTCTTTTTGTTGGACAAATTTCCATTATGAAATTGGTATTTTCAGGAAGGAGAATTTGAGTATTGCTAGTAATTATTTTTTAGGCTTAAATTGTTAGGTATCATCAGCATAACTATAAACTATTTCAAGGGCAATACCTTCTGAAACATATTCTGGATCATCTCCTTCTGGAGATGTGCATAACCACAAAGAAAATGCAGCCAAAATATAAAAACCTGATACTTACAGGGATTTGAGTTTAATTAGAAAATCAAACTGGTCTACTTGTATTTTCTTGATGGGGTTGTAAGAAAGGTTCCTGTAAATACAACATAGACATAAGTAACTTTGTACACCTTCCTTACAGCTTGCTCTAAAAATAAAGTCAAACTACATAACCCATTCAATTTTCCAGTCCTGAAGGAAGGACTTGTATGACTGGCAGTTACAACTGTTTTCTTTCTGTGAAAGACAGCAGTTGCAAACAAGGCATCTGTATGATGCTCTTACATGTTAATAATCTATTTTTAGAGCCGAATCCTGATATCACATTAAACATTCCCAAAAAATTACTAATTTCTCATGACTAGCGTGGGCCATTTTATATATACTAACAAGATCTAGGAAAAGGTAGAATTTGAACTTCTAGGACGTGAAAATACACATCCTTTACAAAACTATTCAGGGAAAAATATTACATATGATTACTTTTGGGATTAGTATTTCAAAGGAAAGGCTTAAATGATGCATACAAACAAGGTGCTCTTCTCTTTCCCAGAATTTATGACTAAAAGCATCATATCAAATAAGTAATATACAGTTATATGTAATAAAAATAATCAAGAATCCTTACAGTTGTGAAAGCTCCTTTAGATCCTTAAATACATATGGAGGAAGTGATTCAATCTTGTTGCTAGCCAAATCTCTGCAGAAACAGCCACAGATAGGATACAGTAAGTTCTTATCAGGCTCAGTAATTTTACCGAACAGTATTGCAGTTGGAAGACACCAGTTTTATTCTATTTGCCAATTAGGATATTATTTATCGTATAGGTTATCAGAAACTTGGACGATAAAAGAATGCTGTTAGAACAATGTGGAAAGCTAGATCCACCGACCTCTCTTTGTCTAGTTCAGATACGCCATTATATCCATAATTTATTATTATTTTATTTACATCAAAAAGAAAGAAAATACCCTTAACTTGGGATGTAGGAGCTTGGAAATAAATTAAACATATGGTTTCATGATGGGAATTCTTTCACACGGGCTAAACAGCACATCTTTCTCTTAGTTCTCTACTTTGCTCCTTATTTTTACTAAACATACATCCAAATAACTGTATTGACAGAGGAGTAAAGGCCTCAGTTTGCCTGAAACTGGCAAATTGGTCTAAAATAAGGAAGGCACACACATCCTCCTAGGCTGTGGTGATGTAAGATTATTCTATTCAGGGAAAATAACAATCTCGTGAGCAAAACGCCTGATATTATTCATAGAGAGTATGTATTTTACTGACTATTTCTTCCTTGTTAAATATATAGAAAGAAAACTTGAGGATGGATGCTATCTCCAGAGCATGTTATATAAAATAGACTTTATGATAAATGATATTTGCAACAGAAATTATAAAACTTTGTGACTTGTACAAGAGAAGAAGTCTACTCACAATTCATCTAACATCTGGAGAAAAGAAAAGCTGTTTTCACTTAAAGAGCTGATTTTATTTTCTCTCAGCACCCTGAAAGAATAAAACAAACTTACGTTGCTACTTTTTGTAGACTTGAAAAATCCTCTCTTCTCTGCATCTTCGAAAATTTACCCAATTGAGTTAGCAAGCTAATCAGATCTAGAAACCTACCATTTTACTATTTGATAAATGATATTTGGTTCCTATACACACAGGTGTTTGTACAGATATACACACACACACACACACATATATACACCCATAGGAGGCTGGTATAAATTGACTGACAGCAGGAGGAAGATTAAGTGGGCTGGAAGATTAAGTAAGCTAACCACACCACAGACACAGGCCCATGGCCATGCAACTTTTCCTTCACCCTTATTTCATCTGCCACTGTGCTTGCTCCTTAAATGAACAACTTATATTACAAAAGCAAAGGAAAAGCCAAGACTATGAGCACTGCACATGAGTTAAAAATTGAAAGTGAGAGCTACTGTGGAGCCTACTGATCTATCAAAAAGTGGCAGGGATTTTCTGAAGAAGCTTTGGGGAAATTGTGAAAGTGAAGAGCTAGCCAACGCACCAGCCAGTCAAACTCTTAAAAATGAAGAAACAAGCTATGTATTTTGTATATTTGCTGCTTTTTATGATGAGATTTTTGCCTCCTCTTCGAAGCAAAAAGTTTGAATGAAAATTTCTAAATCTTAGTATCATTCAAAATTGCTTCAGTGAACTTCAGTTGCACATATCAGTGCTGAACTTTGCTAATAAATGTAAAGAGTGGTTGTTCTATATGGCACCAATTTAAAACCAAGCATTTTAATTTAATGTCCTTGAGCCATGATACTCAGGAAACTTTTATAGTAGCTGTAATGAATCACTTGACTGTTCAGCACAAGCATATCTCACTCTGGCTAGCTAACATATCCTATTACTTACAGTACAGTTAGAGTGTTGCAGGAGATGAAAGTGACATTTCTTACATGATGGATATGGTTGCCTTCAAGGTCTCTGGGATATAAAAACAAAACATCAATCACTGAAAAAAAAATCAGGCAGTTATCCTAAACTAATTGAAGAAAAATGCTACTAGGACTTCACAACTGCACAGAAGAGGGTGGGAACCAGACATGTAATCTTTCTGCACACTTAATTGATGACTTCAGGTCATCAACCCTGCAATGACCCAGCATGCACTCTGTAAGATCCAGCGCCCCATTAGAAAAGTGGCATGGAAGTGCCATACAAAGACAGCAAAATAATATTTTTCTAGTGAAATAAGGTAGACTTACAGCCAGTTTAGTCTTGGCATATATCGGCACAGAGGTTTATCAGGCAAATGAGCAAGAGAATTATTCATCATCTCTCTGGGGAAAAAAAAAAAAAAGAGAAATAGTATAGCTGGCTATATTTGCCAAAAATTACATTATAGAAAATATTCAGGTCTGTTATGTTTGTACTTTTGCATTCTCTGCAGTAGTATTTTATCCCTGACTTATTAATTACCAGGTAAAGGAATGATTGTTTCAGTGCTATAGCAAGTCAATACAAATATTTTGACTATTTGCTTATAACATGCAACTTCTATGGGTGGTGACGGAAAGGGGATATAGAAGTAGGTTTCCCTCTGGGCCGCAGGGGAGGAGAGTGTCTTGCCTTTGGGCCTGGAACAGGCAGTGGTGGGTTATGGAAGGGGTCTGTGGACAGGGCTGTGGGACCCCTGCCTCCTGCACCACGGCTCTGGAGGACAACCAGTGCCCATGGCTGCAGCTGCTGCCTCCTCGCCCTCTCACTGATATTCTTTTTACCATTTTTCCCACCCTTATCCCTATACTTTTCCAGACACTGCATGTCCATTGCTGCCAAAATCCTCCTACTCCAGCACATTTCGTCTGGTGGCAAGAAGAAGCTGCATGTATACTGGCAGCACTCCGAGGTGTGCAAGCACAGTTGTTAAAAAAGGTTTTATATATAACTGCCCATTCTGTTCTGTTCTTTTAAATAACACTTTTGGTTCTTATTCCATACTTACAGGAGAATAAGTGATTTGAGTCCATAAAATGTTAATGGAGAGATCCGATTTATCCTATTATTTTCAATTATCCTACAAATTACAGCAAAGCATGTATCAGATTGATAACTGACTGCAGTCTTAAACTGAACAGATGATAAAAAGTAACATACTTTGAAGTGGATTTCTTAAAATGTCCATTCAAAGTACTTAAAAAAATAACACACTACTCCTTAACAGGTCAGGTTATTCATTGAATCAGTTTCTTTTCAGAATAATTTAATTAAAAAAAATAACTTAAAATAATTGCTTTCAACTTTGAAAAAATCTGTTTTCCTGCGAGTTTTTAAAATTCTTTGATCGAGACATTTTGAATGGATTATCTGTGAAAACAAAGCAGCACCACACAACAGTGTTCTACAGCAATGCAACAGATCCAAAAGCACATTAAAAATACCAGGAATGTTATTATTTGCTTATTTTTAATAAGTTCACTGAGTCAAAATAGTGTTTTATTTTCATCTGTCTGAAAAGCAGTAATAAAGCATATTTCAAGCACTATTTACAGGGAAAGAACTACCCCAAAAAATCTCTTGTTACTCTTTCATAGTATTTGACTTACTTTATGTATTGATTTGTAACAAGCAATTACTAATAAACATTATTTAGTATTTTAAAAGTCATCAGTCACTGGAGCCGTTAATGCCCAAGAACTAATTTCTGCACTCATCGGACAACTGGATTTTTACCCTGTGCAATGTAACAGGAGTTCCTTAGTTATTCTCTAGTATAAAGTATTGCTATGCACATAAATGAAGGTAATCCAAATATTTCTTTGTCTTGGTTTAATTATTCCTTGAGAAAATAAACATACAAATAAGAAAACAACATACAGCCATTCAAGTCTGTGGAGATCTGCAAAGACACCAGGCTTCAAACTAGATATCTTGTTGTTACTTAGGTATCTAAAACAAAACCAAACAGACATAAATGGAGAGATTAATTAGCATCAGATGCATGAAAATTAGTTTTAAGATTTTTTTCTCCCGTTGATAATTTATCAGAATACCACTAAAACGATTCGTAATTATTGTTTTGATTACAGTAATTTCCATGACCTTCTTTGAGAGCAAGGTGAGACTCTCTCTGGTGAGGACTTTGAAAGCAATTATGTAGAATGTTTCGTTTTGTCTATAGGAAAACACAGCAAGCTAAACATTTTCACTATGTCATATTTTAGGCCCTTTCCAGTTTCCTTCTGCAGGGTGATTCTGTCATGGTTTAAACCTGGAAAGATTCGTTCCATTAATGTTCCCATGATCCCGTTCAGCCTTTGCCAAGGATATTAATCATAAACGTAGATATCAGAATCATGGAAAAAGAAAGGCTGAGAAAAGAAGGAGGAGGGATGGTATAAATACTCTGGGTCGGTAATAATAGCAGCTGAAATAACAGATAATAAAATAAGAGGCACAACATTTTAAATTTTTCCTTTTGAAAACATTGCAGGAACATAAAACCTGGACCAAACAGTGCAATTTATGTGTCGTCTCTTTCACTAAGCATTTTCCTTAAAAGTTAGAAGCACTTTCCAAAAAGCTGCTGCAAAATGAAAAGCTTTCTTTTGGTTACTGATACTGGTTACTTTGGTTTGCTTCTGTAAACCAAAATGCAGTGTTAAAGAGTTTTCAACCATCACATGCTTTTGCTTTTATTTTAGTCCTTTTTCGTTCTCTCTGACTTTATGCAGGGTGACTATCATATACTTTTCCTTCTTCCATTCTGAGGATCTGGGGAATAGGAGTTAAGTATGGAGCCCACTTGTATTTTCCAAGTATTGTCCTGTCAGATAAGCTTGCACAGATAGCTCTTAATCTATCTCTGCTTTCTCAATCCAATCCTTGAGTTAAAGATTGGGACCATTTGGCAACTTCCTAACATTGTATCAAACAAGAGAGAGACCTCCATAGTCACTCTCAGAGCTCTTCCTGCTGCTTTTCACTTCGATATTCAAAAAGCGATACTTACAATTTTGTCAAGTTGTATAAACCTTTAAATGCACGTTCAGATACAGCTCTGATTTTATTATTTTGAAGATACCTAGGAAGGTACAAAACCAACAACAGTTAATTCTGCAAGCACACAAAGTCAGAGCAAGCATAAATAACCAACTGAAATGTCTACTAAACTGAATGCACATGTTATACTTGAAAAGAAGCTGTCAAAGTTGTTACACTTTAAATTTGATAATAAACAATAATAACTAGCTGTTAATAAACAGCTACAGCTGCAAAGAGTGAAAAGATGTTTTAAAAGAGAGATCTCTCTCCCCCAGCAGAATTACAAAATTCATTCAAAGGGACACTCGTTTTGCCTGAGATGGACAAAAAACTGGTTTAGGCCCTAACCTTGCAGTTCTCACCTGTGCCTCCTGATCTTTATGTTTAGCCAAGACCCTGCTACAAGCAAAGTTTTGCATGGCAAATATCAAATTTTAATATATTTTGAATTTTCTATTTATAGTATGAGAGAATTTTCAAAATGCTGCATTTTTAATATAAGATATAAAACAGATCTTACTAATCTTCTGCAAACCAAAGAATACTAATTTTTCCCTATATCTCCTTTGATGAGTAAAAAAATTTTATCAACTGCAAACATTAAATCCTTTTCAAATGATTTTTAGCATTATGGTGTTAATCTCTGATTAATGTTTAAATATTAATCCTTTTTGTTAAATTTCAGTTAAAAATTCAGTTAAATTTCAGTTAGAGTATCCAGGTGCGTTACTGTTCAAAAGCAATAAGAAATCTGACATTGGCTTTTACAAAATGGGTTTTTGTCAAACGCTGCTCAAGAGCTTTCTGAAAATTTACAGCTATCGACCAGGAAGGTGTGAAATCAGTGTTAGAAACAAATGTTTTGTACAGATAGATATGGTTGTATGTTTTTTTAATGAAAACAGATCTTTCAGGATTTTAAGGTCATAATGGCACTTAACTTCGTGAACACAAGATGGTGCTGCAGTACAGCATACTTTCCATCACAGTTACACTCGAGTAAATTTTCTAGGAATATTGTGTCTTGAATTGATGACATAGGAGCCCTATCCAGACTTTTGCATTTAATTCTGAATTTCACGAGCTCTAAATAAAGAAGATTTGTTAAAGGCTACTATTTTTGAACAACATATATGTTAGACACCATGAAACATAACACAGTATTGTGTTGCCATAACAATTTGACTAGTTGTGGTGTTATGAAATTGTTACTAGACACAATTACGAGGTAAATAAAGGGCCATGTGAATGAGCATCCCATGACAATGAGAAGTTTAAGTATCCAGACTTTTGTTTTGCAGAATATATGAATCAAGTTACTTTAATTCTTTTTGGCATATTACTTATAAAGACATGATGAGAGTTAGCATTTTTCTGGTACAAAACAGAACCTGCAGAAATTATAGTTTTGCAAAAAGAGAGATGTCAAATCAAGCTATTTTAGCCAAATGGGTTACCCAATGAGATGAGGTGTAAGACAAAACAGAATTTTGAGTGGAAACTGAGGGTTGTTGCTTAGACGTTAAGTTCTGTGTATGAGGATGGGAGACGATGAATATTTAAGACACTAAATAGATGTATTAAATTTAAGCACTCCCTTACAGATTTTTAAGGTCTTGGTATTTCTTGAAAGTGTCAGCAGAAAGTTTCCTTAGCAGATTCCTCTGGAGAGACCTGTAGGGATGAATGCACACAGTAAAACTACTCTCCCAGCTTCCTGCAGTGCTGCCACTTTTGTTACTCAGTAAGAGTAGCTTTTATACTGCTAAATAATAAAAGCATCATGAAAGCATCTGAATATGCTACCTTTGCTTGTCTGAATATGTGTATCTATTTAATCACAAAGCCGAATACTTTATTATTGAAAATATTCTTCCACGTGCCCAGAGGAACTGATAAAATGATAGTTAAATCTAAGAGTTAAAAATATTTGAGTACAAACTAAACCACAGATTTATTTCAAATATCAAATACACAGATAGCTTATTTCCAGGTGCATGTGTCCCTATGTCCCCATCTCCACTTGTCACCAACTCAAGTGTTCTGTTAAGAACCAAAATCATTCAGGGCATGGTTGGATTAGAAGAGAGTCTAGCCTGAAAGCCAGCTGAATCAGCTCAGTGCTTTTTCTAAAGCTAGAACTTAGCCATTATTTTTGAAGTCTTTGTTGACCCTGTATCAACAGCCAGTTTAAATATATATTTGACGTTCCTCATTAATCTTCGTTATGAAGTATTGTGGTATTTGAACACGGACCCAAAAAGGAGAACCTCAGATGCAAATGAGCACAAACTGGAACCAAACAGAAAGATTCATACCCCTGCTCTACGGGGAAGATCCTCAGATAAGGACACATGATGCTGCCTTCTGCTCACCACACAGAAAACAGCCTCTCAAACAGTGATATGCAAATTAAGATCAATGTCAACCATTCCCTGATCTCTTCAGAAAGTTTGACTTACATACACAGATCTGTATGATGACCCAACCCAGATTAAATCCTTTTACATAATGGTGTATTCAAAAATATAAAATGAGAACTAAAAAGATTTGCGCAAGTAGGTAGTTCTACTGAATTCAAAGATCTTGACTATTGACAGGAATATAGATTAGGAATATTGCCAAGATCATAGAACAAGGTCCTAAGCATTGTGTCTTAAAAGGAAACATTTCTTTTGAAGATTTCTTCAGATTTCCTGAAACTCTTGCTAGTTCAAGTCACTGCTACAAACATGAAATGATCAATTCACACAGAGTTTTTTAGTTCCTTTTCTCTCCTTTTGTTTGGGGAGAATCTGTGCTTAAAATATTAAAGGATTTATCGACAGACACACATTATGCTTTCACAAGCACCAGGTGAGCCAACTTGTCATAATTATAAGGTTGTAGTTGTGAAAATGTTGTAGGGTTGGTAGTCAATCCTGAACAGAGCAAGAGGCCACTTTTTTGTTCTACTTACATTATGGTTATGTTTGAAGAGACTGATGGGACAGCACGCAACTTGGCAGCATCACAGAAGATCTCCAGCCTTTGACAGGTACACTCTGCTGGCACAGCACCAGCCACTGTGTAAGAACAAGAACACAGTCATGGCAAAAGGTGGGATGAGTGGTGTGATGGAATGTGGAGAAAAGAAATATGGTGTAATAGAACAAAGACAGACATAGAAGGCTGTGTTAAACAGAAATTAAGGCACCTGTTTTTACATAATTGATTTAGACCTGGGAAGACCCTAACAATAAATACAAAGGGACACAAAAAAAGCAATGTTACCTCCTGATCTCTATGAAAAAGCTTGTTAAAAGCTGTTGAGTTTTAGGCTTGATACACAGGAATACGGCATAGATTTTTTGTGTCTCTTCTAGGTTTCACAGTCCTCATATTTACTAGAATAAGCACAGTTCTGTCCAAGCGAAAAAGGGGTGAAAATGGGTCAGAAAATCTTTGCTCCCTTTCACCCCATTTCTACACTTTCAGTTAGTGCTCATGGCAGAGAGCAGAGGCAGAAAATACGTCCAAAGGGATGAATGCCCACAGAAGTGGAGGGGATTTGCAAGAGTCATTTGATGTATGAAGTGAATTTGGAGGAATGTTGCCTTCATTTCACTCTGAAATGTGTGTGTTTCATGGGCTTTCCAGCAGTATTGACATATTCACATAAACATTTATATTGCCCTCCTAGTTCGCATATATTTGATGCTTTTCCTACAGAAAATGAATCACTCTGAACTGAAATTAGCTTTGATACATTTGTTCTTCTGAGATAAATTCTGGTTTTTTATAAATGAAAATGAACCATATATGTCTCTTTCTGATAAACGTATTTGTTGTGTATTTCTTTCTAGGAATCATCAATAATAATCACACAAGTAATATCTGTAATTACTTACAGCACTCGGGTGTCTTTGCCTGAAATGCATGCAGAGATTTCATTTTATTGTATTTCTCCTTTGTATAATGTTTATCAAATTGCAGAGACCATCCATTGTAGTCTTCTAATAAAAAATAAGCAAACCACAAATAGAAGTTACATTACAAAAGATATAGAAGGTAGAAATACTTTCACTAAATTTAGGTGCATCAAGGTTTATCCGAATAACATGTTTTTTTCCAGAACATTTCATAGACCATTAAATGATTTTATTTTTATACCTCTGCCTAATCACATGCATGTATAGACACTATGAACTGCATAGTCGTAACCGCTTATTATACCTTCAACAACATTTTCTGTGGCAGTTCTACCAAAATAGTATAATCTTTCACTTCATAACTTTTTGTTTATGTAGGAGTCTAAAAACAAGAGACAGTCATATTTTTTACCTCCTTAAATATGCAGGTTTCTCACTTTGTCCAGGAAAGCTCAAATGATTACAATGGCTCTGACTACTTCTTTCAGAGGGCTGTCTCACATTATCACGGCCTATAATTTCTTTCCTGAAAATCTAGATGAAGGTAAAGTGATCACTGCTTTTAAAGAGAATGGGTGATGTGATGTAACGTATTCTAGTCAGTATATTTAAGTTAAGCTTAATATCCATCTTCTTAAACAAAGTATTATTCCATATTACCAGTCAGGTCACTATGCCAAGATGTACTGGCACAGAGTGGTTTATAGCTGTAAAGGCAAAAAGTGAAGAGTAGATCTTTCAGTTCCTTCCCACAAATGGGGATTTCCAGATACAGGGGTGCTGGAAATAACTACAGATCTGTTACTTGGAAGTCTGTCATATACTGTCATATATCAGTAAACTTACTGGTCAGGTAACCATTTCCAAAATAGGGGAGGAATAAACATGAGAAGGAAAAGAAGATATTGAGAGATTACCCCAAAACTTTCCTTCAGAAGCTGTGATCCGATTTTAGCTTTGTTAATTTGAATCTGATCTCTCTTCAGCTTTGCCCATACCATTTTAGTTTACAGCAGCTCATTTAATGAATATGTGCCAGTAGCAGAAATGCTCCTTTGGATGGCACTCACTAGCTGTGAGTCCAAGCACCGGTGATAATTGAAACCATTACTTTATAAAGATACCTACTGTCAAACAACATTTATATGAGAACTCTGAGGATGGCTCTGCTTTGCTATTTATTACAGTTTTAGTTTCACTTTTATTATACTCTAGTAACACTCCTCCCCCCTTATCAATTTCACAGGGTAATTGTTTAGTTAAACCTAAATGCAGTTCCTCATCAATGTTGCTCTATAAATCTTTATATTCAAGTAAACATTACTACTATATATGTTGGCTTCAAAATCGCCAGGGAGAAATAAAATATATTTTCTCCTTTGTAACTTCCCATTCTGAAATTGCATTTCATTTTTCATCTCATTGCAGCTGTTTTCTCAGCTAAGTAGCAAAATTATCTTGAAAGCATCTCCTGAAGCCTGCCTACGGAGTGTCAGCAGATGGAACTGTTCCGAGAGATGCCTGCCTCTTTGCTCCCTAAGCTGAAAAGGTGTACTATACAAGCTGATTAATAGATACTATGAAAGATTAAGAACTTCAGCCAAACTATCCTCTACCTAGTTATTAGGGTTTTTTAATGCATAAATTCAAAAGATAAAAGATTCAAAGCAAACAAAAATATCTGTCTTCAGGAATTGCTCCGTTAAGGGAAATGACAGAGTTGAAAGTGCCTTTTCACTCAGAAATTAGTGTGAATTAATTTGTGCTGTGCAAGAATGCCATTTTCCGACTTAGAGAAGGCATTTTACTAAATTCCTCAAAAGCATCTGGTATGCTCTGATCCATTAGCAGTTTTATCAGTTCAGATCATTACAATGATATTTGGAAGCAGCTTAATGCATTTTGGACAAAATGAAAGGTGTTGGCAAAGCTGCAGAAATATTGCTCCTGCCTATTTTAAATGCTCAGAAGTTCATTTTTTAGACTACCTGCAACATGGAATCTGTAATTGATGAAGCAATGAAAATAGATCCTTTGCCAAGCGAATCTGCCCTGTAGTTAGTGCTGTAATGAGGTTTCCCCAATCACTATTTCTGAATATGTAACTGGAACACATCCATTGACTTTCATTTGCAAGACAGGACCCACCAACTGGAACTTGAAGAAACTAGTGGGGAATACAATGTATGCAGATGAGGTGAGATGGAAGGAAGGAATCTTTCATTGAGAATTTTTAAACAGAAATGTGTAAAGACGTATTGAAAGTGAGATTATTCTTGGAGTGTGATCACACCAAATAAGTATTTTGCAGTCAGGAATACAATCTAAAAATATTTTTGACTAATTCATAATTACATTCATAGAGAGTTTTGGACAACTAACCACTTATCTGAAGATTCTGAATGTGTAGTTAAAAGCCACAAATTCTAGTTCTCCTGTAAGCCAATGAACAGATAAAGAATAATTTTTTCTGCATTTCCCTGCTTCTGACACTGAAGAATGGATAGATGAGATTTTATTCCACCTTTGAGTATTTTTAAAATGCTTTATTATGTGACAAAACATGTGCAAGAGCTGACCATCACTGCAGTTCACTTCTGCAGAGAAAAAGGATGAGCAGTGCCTTCTACACTAATGGGAATGAGGGAGCAGTTCACTACGAAGAGGAAGTTCACCAGCGTTTCCAAGGAAATCAAGAGGCAGCTGTGTATTTTTGGGTGGCCACAAAAGAAAAAGGGGAAAAAAAGCACAGAGAAGAGAAAAGGTGGATTATTTTGTACTGGAAGCATTCCAGTTTTCTCCAGTTTCTGGTCAGTTCATTTTGAAGAATGTTTTTTTCTCATGGCATTATTTTCCAGTTTTCTATTAAAATTCAAAGGCACATCTGAACATAATAAAACAGGTTATTGAAAGTTTTCTGACCCTCAAAAATGTTTGCTTTGGGCCAAGGTTTGTGCCCAAACCTGGGACAGTCTTTATTTTATACAAACTGTTATGTCAAATCCCAAAGAATGTATTGTGCAAATAACTATTTTTAGTACAACCATTTGGTGAAGCACTAATGCCAGAACTGTAAATCACTTTGTGATTGTTTAGAGTTTATATGATAGGTTTGTGACCTGTTTACCTCTGTTGAGACGAGGTTCTCCAAACACTTTAAGGAATGACTGGTAATAGTACTGGTCTTGAAATCCTAAATCTATCATTTGAGGGAGTACAGCTCAGATGAGAAATAGCTTTTTCCCAAGCTGGTTCTAAAATAGATTATGTTGGCTGCACTTCTATAAAGAATGAGATCTGAGAAAAGAAGGCATCAGGAAGTCTTCCCCTGCACGGGATAAGTGAAATAAATAATTGTAAACTGGATTTATCTGACTACAGATTAATACACCATTCCTGGCTAAAATTTGTCGATTACTATTTCTGATGGGAAAGAAATGAGAATGAGTATGTTAATCCTGACGAACTACAGATTTGAATAATCCTTTCAGTGACAGATCCAAGGAAATATCAGCTTTGCTCAATTAAAGATGCATCTCTTATTTAGTAAGCTTATGAACAAGTCGTTATCTATATAATTTTCACCTTCTCTTGTCCATGTCTTCATGGGTTATTATGCAAAGAAATGCATAATAGCATGAATACATCTATAAAAATTTGAGTTGCTTGAAAGTCCCTTTAGCAATAAGCCACTACAGTGGAGACCAGAAGGGACTTAAGTCCAGTGAAATGTAAAAGTTCCTATTAGTTATCAACAATATTTAAAGATCTCAATAATGAAATTGATTAACTCCCCCCACCCCGAACCTCAGCAAAGCTATTCTATTTGCTGATATTTGCACATCATTGTAAACCTGGTTATTGCAGTACCCATATATCATTGATGAATGGCAATGACAGAGAGAATGAAATTTGACCATATATGAAAATTCCCCTGTGAAGCTTGAAAATCTGATCTTTTGCCAAGTATTTACTACATTTTGAGCATGCTGCAGACTTCCAAGCATTTTCTTTTTGCTTCATAAACAGAATTTACTATGTAGGGCTCAAAACTGAAGGGTGTCGCATACATTTAAATCTTACATTCTAAGTATGATGGAAAAAAAAGTCATGCCAGGAAAGGTTGAGACTAACTATAGCATTATTCATTATTTGTATTAATTTGAAATAAAAAGCCACCAAGCCCTTCTTCAATATGCTGAGGCAAAAATGGGAAACTCAGACCCTCTGAAATTTCTCACCCCTTATGAGCAATCTTGTGATATTAGAACATATATCTTTTGTATAGGTTTTTTGAAACACTCCATAGAAATGCAGATTTCTGCTATGGAAATCTAGAATACGATTTGATGAATCTACAGAACTGCAATAATTCTCTGTAAGCTTATAGACCTTCAAAGAAACACATAGGAAAACAGCATGACATCTATACAGATTGTTATTACTTTCATCCTGTTGAATTTTATTATAGGTCCTTTTAAAAAAAGAGGTGGTGTGTTATAACTTATTTAATCAGGCAAGCCAGTCATCCGATGACTGTGTGGCACACAGTAACAGATGAGGCCTGTGCTTTTAAAGGTAAATAAGTGCAAGACTTCAAACAGCCGCTCCCTGCCCCAGTTCTTTCAGAAACCTCTGTGATTTCTGGCCTATGAGCTAGACAGAGCTTAACGAACATCTATAACTGAGCTTAACAACTGGGGAGCTGAATGCTGCCTTTTGTTTGGAGACCTTTTAGGCCTGAGCGCAACACAATGGTAAATACATTTAGCCAGTGAAGAACTCCTGAGAGTCAGAAACATCTTAAATTACATCTGCATGCCTGTTCTTGCTTCACTGGACTGGAAAAATGTGGCTATGACACCGTGATTAAAAAACAAATGCAGACACACTACAACTATTGCCTTGCTGCCAAAAAATAGCTTTGCAGAACTATCTGCAAAATTGTCCAGAAGCCAAATTTCAAAACGTTAAGGAAACTTGTGCTCTCAAAATAGTTCATGCTACTTTGTTCCATTACTGTACATAATTAAAGACCCTGCTTGTGAAAAAAGATAAAATGAAACACCCTAGCATGGTGTTCC